CCCCCGTTTCACACTCCGTCTTACTTCTTTGTTAAAAGAAATCCACCGGATTATACGGTGAAAAACAGTTGTGAACAAAGTTTGCCGAAGTTCTTTGGGAATCCCCGGTAAATTATTTTTTGTGTGTTGATGCGGTTGGACGCCTCGCCTGGGCGCCTCCCAGGAGTGCGTGCCGACGGGGAGCTGCAGCCAGCCACGTCCGGCCCGCCAGGGATCGGCCGATCCCTGGACTGAACCGGATTAAAGGCGTGCAGTATACTTTGTTACCGTCAGACCAGACTATAAGGTCATACCCTCCTAGAAACTCCTCTGCTGTAGCTTATTTGCTTTGAAAAGCAGAGGACCCTCGTATAAGAGTCTTGCGTAGTCGCGGGTCGGGTCGGGCCGTACACGAAGAAAAATGCTTTGGTTGTTGTCACTAAAATGGCGTTCAATCTGCCCCCTGAACTATTACCCAATCACATCGGATTGCGCGTTTTTCAGGGGGCGGAGACTAAACCACATATTTTCCCCCGCGGGTGGCCTCTTACAATGACTTCCATACTTCCATCAATGTTGCCGACCCTTGGCGTGGAAGTGGTCGATGTTGGTCTCGATCGGTCTCGCGGTGCAATGCATGCAGGCCACGCGGTGCGTCGGCCGCCCATGGAGCGACCCGCTGCCACTATACTTGCTTGCTGCTGACCGCTGCTGACTCATCGGGCCAACTTGGGCAACCCGCTCCCTCTCCGCGGGGCTCAAGTGCGTTTTCGGAAACGGCACGCGATTGGCGCATCCTGCTCGCATTGCGCTCGCTCCACCAATCAGGACGGCGCTGCGGACGCAGCCGCCCGTCACATATCCGACTATAGTTGTGCAGCCGCTCTTGCTTCGCGTTCTGCCGAGAAGGGTCGCGTCCTTGTTTTGTTCCGCCGAGATCGGGGCGAGAGAGAGAGAGAGAGAGAGAGAGAGAGAAGCGTCGAGCAGGTCAGGTCAGCTCGACTGCACACACAGCAGCCGAGACAGTGGCGGGCAGTAAAGCAAGGGGGGTGGTCACGGTCACGGTGACCCATGAGCAAGGGTGGTCACGGTGACCACTTTCCCGAGACTTTCCTGCGACTTATATTACGTCAATGTCGTCACTGCTGTGACCTCGCCGTGACTAACAGCGTTACGCCGTTACGGGTAAGTAACCTTTAAGGAACGTTTCCAAAAGTTACCACTGGGATATTTCCACAAATATTGTGTTCCGGGGGGAAATATCTGTGTCATATCGTGACTATATTCCCGCAGAAGCAAAGAAATTGTTTTCTGGTCTCCGCTTGGTTCTCTTTCCGGATCGAGAGTAAAAGCTAGCTGACACCTTACAGTTACTTACATATTCTTTATGTTTAGTCGAAGTCGAACGGTATTTAAGGTATCATCTGCTAAAAAGTGTTTTTCTTTGTCATTCCCTCCGTGCCTCCAAAGCGCTTCGCGACTTTCTCATACTTTCTGGCTGGCTAGCCTCACTAAAGGTTCTTTATAGTTATTCACATTCACAGTTTTGGCGGGCGGCCATGTTCATGTTGGCGGCGCGCTCACTTAACGGAAATTCAAACAGAAAACCAGAAGCCAGACTAAGTGCAACAGGGGTTACAAAGATAATTTATCGAACGAGTACTTGGCCGTTTAAAACATGAAGCCTGTTCTTCACGTTGAGGTGGTGCAGAAAAAAGATAGGTAAGAGATGCCTTTTTCCTCTCGAAATTCTTAAGAATAAGGATCTATCTATTATGATCCTAACCTCCCCAATCCTCATTTGACTAAACGGTTTTAGGGGAGATTTATTTTGCCATAAACTATTGATAACAATTTTCTTGACTCTTAGCAATTTACTGGAAACAACTCTCAACAACTATGTTCTTGCGGGTCTGGCTGGCCGAAAGTTTTCGAAAGGAGCAACTTTTAAAAACTTGTCGAATGAACTTCTCTCAGACCATGTTGAATCCATTCACATCTGTGATGAAACTAATACTGAAGCTATACAGGTAAGGCGTCTTTTTGAACTTAATCTTTTGGCTTTCTTCTGTCTGTTATTTTAATTGTTTCACTCTGTGTGTTATGCAGTCAATAGAAGACTACGATCTCCAAATTCATATTTTCAAGTTAGATAATGAAGGGGTTCAAACAGAATGTATTCAGAGTGGTGATGGAGATGGACAAGAAGTGTCCGCTGCACAGCATTGGCTGCTTCCATCCCGTGATTTTCATGGCTTATGGGAAAATCTTATCTACGAATTTAACATTAAGGAAAATGTACGAATTATCTTTTATATTGCAATTGGTGGAAACACTTTAACTACTTAAATACCATTATAAATATTGTGTTTCTTGCAGCTTCTTCAGTGTATGGAGACAACACTTCTTTTCTCCGACCGAAATGTTTCTCCCTTTGTCATCACATGGAATCGTGTCATTCTGTTACACGGACCACCAGGAACAGGCAAAACTTCCCTCTGCAAGGCTCTAGCTCACAAGCTTGCAATCAGGCTTTCTAAACGATACTCTCAAGGCCAATTACTAGAAGTTAATAGCCACAGCTTATTTTCCAAATGGTTTTCAGAGGTAAAATTTTACTGTGATATACCATTTTTTGTTTTCTCTTGAAGACTTGAGTTAAGTCATGTAATATTGTGTTAACAGAGTGGAAAACTAGTAATGAGAATGTTCTCCAAAGTTCGAGAACTTGCTGAAAATCAAGATTCATTAGTAATTGTTTTAATTGATGAAGTAGAAAGTTTAACCCATGCAAGGAGTTCTCATAGTGGTGTTGAACCATCTGATGCCATCCGAACAGTAAATGCTGTCATAACCCAGCTAGACAACCTGAAACAGTTAGTACATCATCTCTCTTCTTGTGCAGCAGTTGTATGTAATATGTTGAATAATACCCATGAGCATTTCATTTTGTTCTAGATATTCAAATGTCTTGATCATGGCAACTTCAAATGTGACAGAAGCCATTGATTTGGCATTTGTAGATCGTGCTGACATTAAACAATACATAGGCCCTCCTCCAGTGAAGGGAATCTATAAAATACTCACATCCTGCTTGGATGAATTGAAGAGAGTAAGTAGTAGTATGAGTATGGAATTTTTGGACACTCTTGACAGTATACTTTACCCTTGTTTATCTTGAAATTACAGACAAATATTATTTCACAATCAGATGGCTTACATTCGTATGATTTTATCACTACTTCAAACCGTACAGTTGTTGATGATAATATTGCAGATAGTCTAACTCTTCTACAAATTTCAAGGTATGTTGCATTTTGGATCCTATTTCTACTTGTTAGATTTTTGATATTGAATTTTTTTCATGTAGTATCATTGCGATCATTGCCTTTTTGCAGAGATTGTGAAGGTCTCAATGGGAGAACACTCAGAAAACTTCCCTACCTGGCTCATGCTCTCTTCATTCAGAAACCTTCCTCCTCTTTGAAAGATTTTCTAGAAGCTTTAGCAAAAGTTGTTGTCAAGCACAAAAATGATTTAAAAGATATGAAGAGTGGTACAGCATAAAAAATGAGGTGTTACGACTTGTTTTTGTTGCTGCTTTTAATTGTTTCATGTGATTATTTCTTTTTGTTTTGATTCCTGTTAATTCTTAGACTTTTACAATATGGAAAAAGTATAAATAGATCATTTTCTTTTTAAAAATTTCAATTTATTGTGACACCAGAATACTGACAATTTTTAAAAGCCCAATCACCATCACACCATTCTTAATCTATACCCTGTCTCTAAAAGGTATTAAATCACAAGAGCTCTAATGGAACGTGCTATAGTTTGTCTACATTTAATAATTTTCTTCTAAGGAGCAATCAGAGGACTTGACAATTTATGCTTAGGTTCTATCTTTTCAGAGAGCTTGCCAGCATGGAAAACCATGTGAACATGACACACAAAACATAGAACAATAAAACTACTAGAATCTAAGATTTTTGCAAGCAATTGGTATATTAGGTAACTTCATATTCCTAAGGTGGGTTGACTTATCTAAGTTTATATTGTCCATTAATTGATCCCTTAACTTTAACAACAATTATGAAACTTCATGCCCAAATCATAATTTATTCAGTCAATCACCACACTTTGGTTTTGAGCTGAGGTACTCTTTTGAGAATTTCATTACACTGATAATGATTAAAACACACTGAGAAAGTAAAATTGCTGAAATACCCTTCAGGATTTCATTGAATCCATAATATTTAAAATAGTGCTAAGAATGTACAATTGATGTTAGGGCATACCATATGACAATTAAAATACAGCCCAATAGTAACCTGTAATTATGAGGCAATTTGATGAGTGACAGTCATTCAACAGTTTAGTATGGTACTAAAAATAGAGTAAAAGAAATTCCATAGCACAAGATTATAAAAAATGAATTACCAAATTAATCAGTCTTATGCTGACAAAATTACATGTCATGCTCAAAGTGATGAGAAAAATCCCAGAACAACAGTAATAAGTTGCATGATTAAATATTATTTTCTGAGTACAGCCAGAGAACAGTACAAAACATTTCCTACATAAAGCAATGCAACAGAATACAAGGGAACAGTAAGTAAGTACACTACTTACATTGTCAACTTTATTTTATAAAATTGTTCCTAGAATAAAAATCTTTAAAATCTATCAGCATGGTGAGTAAGATTTGAAAACTCCCGTGTAATTCAAAAGAGCAAAGCCTGTAACTGCTCCAATTGCTGAGCCAACCTGAGTCATTGCACCATACCAGAAAAGACCTTTCCCTCCATTCTTACGGAATCTTGTGGCAATCGCCAATTTTATGTAAGACACAAGACCAGTAAAGAGCACCCATGAAATCACCTGTAAGCAAAATAAAACAGTTCATTCTAAGCAATACAATAAATTTTCAAAAATTAAGAGACTAGGTTATTTTTACTGACCACAAGTGCTTCTCCAGATGAAGTATTTACTAGAGGGGGCTCAGGGCTCATGGTAGCAGTGACAAATATAAACACAGCCACAACAAGAGTTGGGAATGCTATGAGTGATATTGCACTTAATGAAGTGAATGTCACAAAAAAGAGAATATAACATGCTACGGGGTTAGCCATGCTTCCCAGATTGATGGCCAAATGGTACGCCACATTACCATAAGGAAGGCAAGAATATGACTGTATGGCAGGGAACAAACCATTAGCTAATGCTGATGCACAAGCCTGCATGATCAGGAAAACAGTATATGTCATGTTGTTCATCTTCTGAAAGAGAATTAAATTACATAGAACAAAATTTAAGAAAATAGATATATTTTAGTTACAAAAAACACAAGAAAAGTAAAAATAAAGAAAGGTTTACCTTGGTTTGGGCAGTGACTGGAGAAGGTGAGCTCTCAAAGTCGTGCGATTCTGTCATGAATGCACTGCCCCTTCCATTATCTCCATCTGAAGTTAGACTCCTTCCTTTCTCGGGAGAAGACGGCATCATGCTGGACCTGACGCCTTCATTCTCATTATTGTTCTTGTAGCTTGAAGACGACTGACTGTTTCTCTGCTTCTTGCAAATGGGGAGTGTTTTCAGCAAGATAAATGAAATGAAACTAAGTAGTTGAAGGCAGAAAATAAGAACCAAAAATGTTGACACTGAAAATAGGGGTGGAGGAACATACTGTTCATATTTCTTAATAGAATCTGTACTGTTGACCTCTCTACAAACAGGATTTCCTCCAACACCCTGGAGCAAAGAAGTGATGCTCGGTACAAAGGCACTAAGTCCTTCCCCAATCATGTATGACACAAGGTATGTTTCTCTGAAACGACTCATGTAGGGAATGAAGAGAACAGAACTGGTGCAAGCCACAAGTGCACAAGTGAAAACTAGAGCCAGTAAAGGTACACTATGTAAATTTCCTCCTATTTCCACAGTTTGTCTGGTAAAAACAGAAAAGAGAGGAAATAATATATACATCCATTAAAGTCAGTGCAGAAGAAATAAACCATTCTTTTAACTTACCCATAAAAAAATGACATGAGTAAGAGTGACAAGCATCCAATAAACATTAAGATGGAAATAAAAAGGCTATCGGATACTTTCCCCTTACAAAACTGCTGCATTACCCCATATATGACCCCACCAATATTGGCAGCCTGTTCAGAGAGACATAGTTATTGGAAATTGTTAGGGCCAAAACAAGAGCGCTAAAATGATTTGAAAAACTTACCTGAATCAATACTACAATGTATGAAGGGAGGCCCCAGCCTTCAGGAGCATTAAATACAAGAAGAGGTAACTGTGTATACATCCCGTTGATAGAGAGCCATGCACCCATTCCAAAGAGTGCAGCGAGTACATCAACAAGAAGAACTCTGTTTTTCAGCCGCTCCCTCAGGGAATAAAAGATACCCATGTTTGCAGATGAAGGCTTGTTGGATGAGCTTTTGTCACAGTCAATTACTCCGAATGGGGAGCTGCCCTTGGAAAGTAGTGGGGTCTTTTCGGTAGCCTCTTTCCTGTGGACAAACAATTCATGATGTTAATTAAAACATTCAAACAATTTGAACAACAGCCTTGTGAAACAGTCTGCAGTAAACAATTTCTTGGCTCTTTACTCTTTGTGATATTTTTTAATCAGCGCATTTTGTATGATGCAATCTGTTCAGTCACAAATGACCTGTATCAAAAACGAGTCAACGAACAAAGTTCTACGAACTTGATTGGACTCAAATCAGGCAAATAATACGACCGACACACATCTCTTGGCAACAAACCACCAGGCCGAAATTCTTGATCGGACATGTATGTGACCCGGTTAGTGGCACACAGTGTAAGGTTACGTTTTCGGGGACTGACCGTCACTAGCACCTCGAACTGATATACACGCAAAGCAAACACTACACTTCATATCACACCGATCAACGATTTGATACTTTACCTCCGTGCATTCATACGGAGTAACAAGTCAGCCTTCTTCCATGGCAAATGTTGTAATCAGTTGCCAAGGTCTACTTGGGTCTACTGCTTAAACCTCGGCAACGCGAGCAGACGACGAAGGAGCAGGCACACCAACCAGACGGAAACAAATTTCTCACAGAGTGGGGCTCCCTCTTAATACCGACGGGTCCACGACCTGTCGAATTGCCTCAATGGGTTCTTCGATCCTCCGCCATCAAATAATCACTCCATTTAATTTCGATTGGTGTTGGTTTCGGATGGAAAAGCTACGACAAAAAGTCTCCGTTGCCAACCGAAACGCTGGAAGGTACCGACCCAAAATCATGCCTGGGAAGAGGGGAGGGGAAGATTCGGGACGATTCGCTACGCAAAACTTTCACCCAGCTGCCACCGCACTGCTGCACCCTCGATGCAAACGGGTGAAAATGCTGATCTGCTGAACACTCCTCGAGAGCAGCGCGAGGCCCCCAACGCAGACAGACGACAGGGCGCAGGGCGCGGGGCGCGGCTGAAGCTGGTACTTCCCTGCTCTTGTTGGAAGTGCGACAGCTGTGCGGCCCGAAACACCCGTCGAAGCCACGTTGAATCATTATCGTAACGATGCGGTTCTTTCCCTTTTCAACGTCGTTTCGCGTGGGTAAGGGTAGCGCGTCACAACACGTGTGTGTGTGTGCGCGCGCGCGCGTGTGTGCGTGTGTGTGTCACACGACACCACACGCTGACCCCGCTATTCAAATTACCTATCCCGCTGGGCACTTGGGTGTATCGGTCAGCAGAGGTGAGGTGCCCTTGGCCTTGGTCGCTGCCGCCGCGGCTCTGCTCGCCGCCGCCGCGTCGCGCTGCTATGGCCCGCGTCCGCGCGGACTGGAAGGTACCTTCGCGGAGGTACCTGGCGGGTACTGGCGGTCGTACTTCCTCCCGCGCCACTGGACTGGTCCGGGCTCGGGCGCCTCGGGTACCACTGTACTATGGGACGCTCCTGCTCGGGACGGGTAGCAGCCTGGCCGAAGGTGCTGGCCGCGGCTCCGACGACTATGCTACGCTAAGCCCCCACCCAACCGCGCGATAAGTCGACACGACATTTTTCCGACACACGTGGTGCCTGGCCTAGATGGTGTTGCATCGCACTGTACCCTCACGAGGGTCGTAGTCATTTATATTGCTGCCTTTCATGTAAATGTTTTCGTTTTCCAGGGATAAATAAAATGTTTCATGATTGTGATGAGTCATTATGACCACGCGCTCTTCGACAAAAAACGTTTTTATCATGCACTCTTCTCTCGACAAAATTGAATTGTCAGACCGTCCTGCGTCATTCACTCTGTCCGTTTTTGCTGAGGACGGCCCGCCCAGGCCAGCGCAGCCTCGTCTGGCCATGGCCATGGTCAGGGCCGGCAATCGGCAATCTTTATGAAAACGAGTAACTTTGGCAATCAGCCAATCTTTTTCAGATCTGGAAACTTTTACCATCGGCTTACGGAGACAGCCACAAAAGGACTGCCGAAAGGGCGCCAAGTGTCGAAGTAGTGTGTTTGCAAGTTTGGCCCCTACAGCAGTGAAAGTGGGCCGACTATGCCAAACAAGGAGCTCAGAAACAAGTTTTCACTTCCCGGTCCGTCTCCTGTCTGTCCAGTATTGTGTATCAGTTTTCTGAGCGTTCTCACTCACTCTGCGAGGTAAGGTGGTGTCACGTGGGTTGCCTACTTCCAGGTGTCTTATCTGAGACTGGGGGG